CAAGAGAGCACTGAACCCGTCTACAACGTTCCAGACGAACCAGATCAGGAACTTTCAGAGAATCCCAATCTTTTTGACTCCATTTTTCCAGAACAGCCAGTTTATAACACTTTAGAAAGCCCTTTTGGATCGGGCGAAGATCCGGAATGTATAAATGAACCAATATATAACGTTTTGGAGGAGGTGTCTCTTCCCAATGATTGCAAACATCAATTTTCTCCTAATAATATCAATACATAATTAAGAGAATAGTTTGTGAGAATTGATAAAATAATCACCTATGGAAAAATGCGTTATCTTTTATCAAATTCTCTTTACTTATTCTTTATGGAAATGTATAGAGATCAGTTTGGAGAATTTGTATGTGGATATTGGTGCTTAAAGGGTTAAAGAAGAGGATGAAGTATAATCAGTATTTTGTTGAAATTTGTGAAGTGTAATGTGCGTGAACTGAATATTGAAATTGTTATAGACACCCTAGCTATGTACTCAGTACTTTCCCACCATTATTTACAACTGACTGGGTACACACGAAGAGCCTTCAAATTTCCCTGAATTCTTAGAGAGCCCGGAGTCATTGACTTGATTCAGGCGACTTTATGTCTAGAGACGTTTGAAAACTGCATCAACTATCGAAGGTTAATGGCTTACGACATCCTAACTTAAGTAACCTGAAAAAACGAAGAATATTTGGTTCATTCCCAGCGTTTCAAGATTATCTGACTGGTAATGCGTAATGTATCATAAATTTTACCAGCAAGTAGTTGAATGATTGCAATGAATGCAGGAATTATCTAATGTTTAGGAGAGTTAATCTAATATGATTCGACGAGAATTCTACAAGAAGTTAACAATATATAGATATTTCTCTGTTCTTTCATTGACAAATTTGGAAACAAATGCATTGGAAAAGTTAACCCTAAAAATTATTTGGGTATGATAGAGATATTAATGTTTATTTAGTGAAATAAACACTATAAAGGTTATAAATAGAGAGTTTACGTTATGAAGAATTAACGCTGATGTGGTATGAACTCTCTCTTATTTAAGGCATTGTAGAGAAAAAAAGTATTTTAATCGTTCCTAGTTAAATTTGGTGCTTCCGGTAGCCGAGACAAGTCATATTTCTGCCTCCACATTTGAAAGTTAACAATATAAACAAATGCCATTAAACATATTGTCTCTCCTTCTTTTACGAGGATAAAAAGTGTATTGAACACCTATTCAAGTTTTATAGTTAACGTTTTTCCCACCAGAAAATTACGTCGCTTAAAACGCGCAATGAAAATTCAAAGACACCTGGAGGTAGTGCGTTATAGTTACATCTAGTTGAGCCTATCAACTGAACGAGATTAACAGTGAGTAGGCGTACCTCTTGATCTTCGTGATATTTTTTTGGGGAATAAATCACAGAGTAACCTATCATCATTATTACTGCAATATTAGCAGATAAAAAAATAATAATTTAGAAATCTAACTTAGTTTAGAAAAGAAGGGGTCACGAATGGCTGGAAAGTCAAAGTTAGAGAGCGCGAGTGAGTCTTTTACATGCTAAGATAATAGTCTTTCCTTTAGGAATTCGTCAGCAGAAAATGTAAAAAGAATTTGGTTGCAAGCACACTTAGGCGCTGCACTGGGGAAGGAACTTATTTATTTATTTATTGATTTTAATAAGTTAATGTATTTTCGTCAGTAACTCATCGTCAAATAAAAACAAGAAATTGAGAATACTATTTTCATTTTGTCTCATTTTCTTATTATTGGCTTGGGTCATGCCGATATCTGACGCCTTACAGGTGGATATTTTGTCAGGTGACAATTTTTTAAATTGTATTAAAGGCTTGGGTTATTCTTTACCTATATTTTGTAACCACAAAAAGTTTTGGATAGCTTTTGCCCTATTCTGCTGGCCTTACTGCTCAGTCATATGCGAAGCCAATTTAACTTTGATAGCCTTTTTGATAAGAGGATACAGCTTTTAATATCGAAAGGAACCTTTAAAAAGTTACCCTGGCTTTGGATTGGAGGGTGGATGCATGCACATCCCAGAAAGGCCCAGAGGCAGATGTCCCTTCCCTTAATGAAAAATACTTCCTAAGCGTTTGAATAATAATCCTGAAATGTATCCAAAAGCTGCTTATCATGGCCTGCATTGCAGTTCAATATCTTCGTGCAAACTGGTTGTACATAGCTGTATGCACCTGACATCATTTGAGAGCAAAGCTCTTGGAAGCGAAAGAGGCAAAATTCTTCTGTACACGGTCTTAAAGTCATGATAGTGCCAAATAAAATAAAATAAAGTAAAATGTTGTCCCTCCCCTTGAAGTGGTACTGAGGGCTCAGCGCATTGGAGACAAATGCCTATATACACAATGAAATGACACTTCACGTGCCCTTTGATTGGCGAACGCGGACCACAATTGATTAATAAAGTGATACAGTGTTATCTGCATAAAGGTATAAACTCTGCTATCTAATACAAAATTATGAAGCTTACAATTACAGAAGACTATTACAACCTTTTTACCTTTCTTATGTACATTAAACTGTACAACTGGTAAAACCACTCTTCATTTTTATTTGCTAATCGTTAGTATCGATACAAATATAGCTCTTTCTACACAAGTACCTTAACGGGAACAATATCATTCAATAATTTCGAACAAGCATAGCACGCGCATGAGAGAGAATACATCTTTCTCAAATTGTTGTCTCCTTTTAACATTGAGTTATTATTATTATCGTCATTGCTGGGCAGTAGAACATCAGGGCTCGGTTGGTGAGCTGTGAATGTTACTCGTAGTATTTGTCGACGACTTTGATGCTGTTAAGAATATTTACATCGTTGGTAACAGTTTTCCAATTTTTGATCGCCTTATCGTTTGGAAATGATTTCGTAATCTACAGAAACAGGTCGCGGACGAATCGAATTTGGAAGAGTTGGGACTCTTTTAGGATTCCATCTTCGACATGTCAAGAAACAACTCAAGGAGATCGATGTGTTCCATTTGCTGCAGATATAGATAGCAAGAGAAACTGTTCTTGTTTGTGTCAATCAGCTGACACTTCCACTTTTGTTTTTCATGAAGGACAATGGACTTGTCTTGAAAATTTCAGAGTTAGAGACCTTCATAGCGGTAAGGCAGAAAATCCATACTGAAGTTGTTGTTAAATGGTAATTTAGAGCCCAGAGATTATCCGCGGTGTTTTCACTGCATTCGATGCATTCTCATTATTTAAAACGCCCGATAAGTCTTGACTTTTATTTCCATCTGGAATTCCAGATGCCATATGAGCAAGCAAAAGCTACATTAAATGCCGATTTATGTATTTTAAACAAATCGCTTTCAATTGTTAAACCTTAATCTTCAATGACCGGAAGGGCAGGAAATATTGCTTTCATCGTAACTGGCAAATAGTGTGTTTTCTAACGGCTGGCCTTTTTAAATTACATTATTAGACTGCGGCAACACTCACTACTTGCTATCAGAGGTAGACCATCTTCCACCTCTTGATGACTGGAAGGGCAGGAATGATTGCTTTTATTTTAATTGTGGGATGGTATGTTTTCTAACGGATAATCATTTTTAAATTCCCAGAACCCTGCGGTAACACTCACTACTTGCTGCCAGAGTTAGACCATCTTCCAGATCCCCCGTTGTCAGCATTGAGTGTGGGTGACGTCATCCCTACTGATATTTTTCACGGTCTGGATATTCAACACTGCGATGTCAATCCCAATTCGTCTTGGTATCTTGGTTGTAATGGGATGCCACTTTATTCGAGTCAGCATCTGCGCAAGATTGGGGAGTTGTTTGCCTTTAAATTTAATAGTACAGCCAGCTCCCAGTACTTTGTTCTCGAGGTATAGTGAAGAGTCAAATGTGTTAGTTGTTCTCTTTGGTCCAATTTAAGAGTTTCCAATTATAGAACGTGGTTTTAGAAATGCTACTGGACCAATAGAACATCTGATAAAATTGTTTCGATTTCATTTTTTGAGCTTTAAGCTTTTCCGTCTTTAGCCAAATCATCCACTCTTTTCCCCTAAAGTTTGCCGCTAATTTTCTTGCTATTAGTTTTTCATGCTCAAACTTTCTCTTCATGGTTAGTTTTCTATCTAAGACGGGCGCCTCCCTAATTCAACGAACACCTTGAGTCAGCCTCTCTCGTTCTTCGGTTATTTTGTTTTCGACTCGCTAGGGAGTTGACCCTTGGCCAAAGAGCTGTTAACCTTACCATAGGTGTTAACGTCCACATATGTACTCTTATAGTCTGTCTTAACTTAACCTGAGCAATTTCAGAGACTATCTTTAGTTTGCAGCAACCCAGAATATACATAAAGCCGGACGAAGGATCTTTATCTTAAGTTCGTGCATTAGTAAAATATCTTTGTTCCTTTTTTTAAATGCAAACAATAAACGGTGTATCATCATGTGCTATTATATAGGTCAAACGTGGAGTACAAAACACTGAATTATTACAAGGAAGAGTGATTAACCTTGGCATTCTATGCGACGAACCCGGGGGACATCAATATCACGGCTGCATACAGATCAAATTAAAGGGAAAGTTAACATGTGAGTGATCAAGGATTACCATTGTTCTGTTAATTACTGTTATGAAAGATAAAGTCGAAGTTTGGTCGCTAGGTAACTAGTGAGGTAAAAGTGCAATAAAACCGTCTTAATTTGAGAAGAACGTATCTTCGCAATTTTGAAATAATTTAGTCATAGATATATGTCCTTGGGCGTATAGTGCCATGTGGAAATAGGTTAAGAAAGGTGTGGTGTCTCTGCATGAATAGGGGGTGAAAGCCACTGAAAGACAAACAGTTTGATAATTAGGATAATACCAATAAGTGGAGCGTGCTCTTGGGTGAAAGTTCTGAGTGATATAGTTAAGAATATTTATTAAAACAACAAGTTTGGGACCCGTTAAAGATGCAGGGGAAGGGCAAAAATCATCTAACTCTTTCCTTTTTCTTAAAATAAGGTCCCGTGATGGTGCGCAATTTACAACCGTCTTCATCGGCGACGCCAAAGAACACATCTATCAGAGTGACGTCGGCGTCTTCAAAAATGGGTCGTACAACCTCATTAATTGTTTCTGCATCCTCGACAGGGTCGAACTCTTCAAAAACTATTTCCAGAGCCTCGATTTTAGTTTCTGCAAACTCCACAGGAATTCCCCTAACCTCAACTGGATTCCGTCCAACTTTGATAGCCAGGCAGACTTTTTCCAACTCGTTACAGACCATTCTGGTAGCCCGACACACTGTTACTAGGTCTACATCCTTGCAGTCGAGTTTAGTTTCTGCCAACACGACAGAGTCAGCCTCTTCAAAAATAATTCACACAACCACGATAATAGCTTCTGTAACCTGGACAGTAATACGTTCAACCTCCATGGTGATTCGTCCACCCACAATACCTACACGCAGACTCAAACTCTCTTTTACTCGGTCTATAGTATCGCTGCCGTCTGCAAATCATCCAGCCTCGAAAGTGAATCGTCCATCCTCGATAGATACGCGGATTACATCCAGCACATTACAGACCAGTTTCATATTCCACATTATTTCTCGGTCCAGAGTCTTGCACCAATCGACATTTGTTTTGCCTTCAAGTGTAAGTATACTACTATACTTTATCTAAAGGCAGCTTTTCTCAATTCACCCCTCAGAACTTTCCAGGTTCATCAATAAGTTTCCAAGGCTGTCCTCAGACTTTTCTACTGGTTAAATTCCTCAAACTTTCTTAAGAGGTTTTTTTAAAGTCAAAGATTTGAGGTCATCCTTAAACTTCTTCAGATGAGGGAATCACGTCCAACTCCATCACTTGATAAAGATTCCATGATGGAATCGAAAGCTTGTGTATGCTTATAAGTTTTTAACTCGAGATTTCAGACCTCTTTGCTTTAAATATCATTGCCAGGATTAAGTAACTCTCTCTTCGCTAATATTCCATCAGGGAAATTCCTATATTGATAAAAATGAGATTTCTTCTGATTCACCTGAGTAGAAAACGATCTAACCCAACTCACTCCAAATGGCAGCCAAAGAAAAAACTTACCCCCCAAAAAATAATAATTAAAAAAAAAATGCTTTTTATAAAAACCTAACAAATAAATAGTACTAATGCAAGTGTTTTGTCTAAGAGGTTTTAATTTGATGGTAACACCATTCGGATAACACAAACGAAACAAATAGTCTGGCCATAATTTGGTCTGGCGCCATAACTTGGCGTGAAGTGTAGCTAACCACCCCGTTGATGTACAATTGTGAAGATACCCACTGACAATTTGTCTCCCAAATGCTCGCTAAACAAGAGTGTAAATTCTAGCCTACGAATGAGAGGTTATGGAAGGTTTTGGACATCATAACCATTTACCAACTAGTTTTTAGTTTTCTGATTTAAGAAAAGAGAAAATAATCAAATTTGCTTCGTTGGCATAAAATGTAAGTGTATATCCAATGAACACTAAGTTACTTGTGGCACATTATAAACTTATACTAAGACTAGCCTAGTTTAGAGTAAACAGAGACCCTTTTTTTTTCAGAGAAAACCTAGGACCTTCTAGCTAGGTTATATATTTTTTTCGCCTTTAGGTTCATTTACATCCCAGCCCAAAGGTGGAGGGCGATACAAAAGGCAGGTCATCATCTCTGGGTTTTATTACAGGCATCTCAATATCCATTTTTCTAGCAGTTGTGATCATTGGGATCATAGGGCTCGTATTTCATCTCCGCTGCTATACAGGGTAAGAATTTGTTACATTTATTCCAGTGATATATATTTTCCTATTCTATTATATCGTAAGGTTCCTAAAGTAGCGCCCTTGTGGATTTAGCGTGGATTAAGCCAATTTGTGAGATAATTTGTAGTATGGAAAGGTAAATATGTCTATTTATTTGGGATTTTTGAGCTATGGAGACCACAATTACTAACACTCCATAATTCAGACACCCTCAGCGTTGTTGGAAGGGGTCTTTTCATTTGAAGATTTTTGGGTGGTCATAATTTATTAGTTCCCTGCCTTCAGTACGGGTGATGTTGTTGAATGAAAGTTTACCGTCAGTCAGGGATCTCTGGGAGAAAATGGAGGACCGCCTTTCTCAAAATAACAATCTCTTTCTAGTCTTTACAAGTTTCTCGAAGCGCAAGTTAGGAATCTAAATTCGTGCTAAATCGAGCTCATTTTATTTTCGTAGAAGGTGGTACAATGAAGAGAAGGATCATCAGGTAAGGTGATTATAGTCCTACGCTATAAACAAAAAACATTAAAACAAACGTCGATAATCACTGTCTATATATTATCCCAAAGACGTCTCCCTGTGATTAATTATCATCTTCTTAGTACATGACCCTGGACAACATGTGACCATGGTGGATTTTGATATCTTTGGATTTCTAATACCATTGGTCAACTTGTTGTATACAAACACTAGCATCCCTACTGGAGAAAGTAGTTATATATCAATAGGCGTTTTCACGCTCTTTACAGAAATAGGCGGGAAAGACAAGTTACTGCCTTATGGATTCCGTTGATCCAAAAGTCCAGTACTCTCTGATCAAGGAGGTGCAAGTCAAGACTGAATCTGTAAATATGAATCTGTAAATAAACCGCCTTTTATTTGCCTGTTTTACAGAATACCGTTATGATGAGCGTACATAGAAACTTAGCATTCCGAGAGGATGACGAAAATGAGTACAATTCGCTTACTATCAGAGCAAATGGAATGCGTAAGTAGACACATTAAGGGTTGAATGTGTAATTAGTTTGCGCAATTATAAATAACCTCATCAAAATCAGAAAATCAACTTTGGAGCTGGGTCAATTAATTACACTTCCAGCACTTTTGCTTTTGTTGCATCTAGAATCTGGGAAACCATTCCCTCTGAATTTTTTTGAAAAGAATACCTTATTTATAACCACTTTTATAACGAATACAAACTTTATCTTCCAAAAACCCAGCCCCCCTCCCCCCAAAAACCATTTAATTTCTCTGCCCGCTAATAATAATCATATCTATAATCTATCATTTTCAATTGTTTTTATCTAAAATTGTTAAGTACGACTGTTGAACCTTTTCATTTTCCTTTCTCCGTTACTTGTAGTTTTAAGTAAATATCTACGCCAGTTGCACGAGCTAGTGAACAGATCGAAAGACTACTAAGCTTCTCTGATCGCTGCCCACATTTTACGTTTCATTCTTTACGCAACTTGCTTTTCTGTTCTTGTAATACATTGTAATGTATGAAGTAACATTTCAATACTACAAAAAATTATAAATCTGTATCTGAATCTGCGTCTTATGATAGCAATTGCTATATGCGATTGGGGCATGACTGCGTCATTGTTAGTAGATAATATATTCAAAGCAAAGTGAAGTCATCTTTAGTCAAAGTCAAAGAAATGCCAAATGTTAATTGGACAATCTAAATACAACGATCATCTTAACAACAAGCATTAATGATTTTTCCCCAGAGCGTTACGCATCTATTTATAGCAGGCCATGTAGTCCGGTTGCATGTGAGGATATTGGCGAAAGTCACATTTACGAGACAATAGATGATCCCGAAGAGGAAAATGTACTCAGCTCTAAAGAACCTGTTCCCGAAAAGGAGATACCGCTGGAAAGATTTGAAAAGCCGGTCAGTAGCAATTTAGAGGCAGAATGCGACGTTTTTTATCAGCTTCATCAGAAAGATGTGCAAAGTTCTTTCCACGATGGCGCTGTTTCTTCAGGGGGACAGACCCTCGTAGAGGGACATAAGACAAGCAAAACTTCTTATATGGAGCCAGAGTATCACGTCTTAGAGGAGAATGGTCTTGAAAATATCAGGAACCCATGTGATTGTCACGATTATGGAGCCACCTTAACAGGCAAAAATTCCACATCGGGAGGATCTGCCACGAAGCCTCTCCATGAAGGTCATGAACGAGTGTGCCCTACGTCGGAACTAGCTAATCGCCAGGATGTAGTTGGATTCCAGGTGCCTGCTACCCATTTATTACAAGCAGAATACAAAGACCCAAAGGAGCTTCACGAACACGAAGAGATTTTAGCGCGTCATAGTTCTCTTTCGTCGGGAGAAAAGTCCAGCGGTGAGCTTAATGAGGCTTTTAATTGTAACAAGAAACCAGCTTACAAAGTTTTGGAAGGACCGTGTACTCGGATATCAGTGAACCCTCGTGAACCAGTTTTCCCCAAAAGGAGCCAAACAGCTAGTTAATCGGAACAAATCCGCGATGCCTGACGTAATAAAGGAACTTGTGCTTTGAAATGCATGGAATTCTATGGCGCTTACATTGTAACAATGCCTGCGAAGAAACAGCCAGCCTTAAAATGTCAATGCTTTGAGATGAACTGTAGTCAGAAGCATGATTGGTGTTCCCAGCATTTCATGGAGTTTTCCAATTCTATTTGGAATCTAATTTGCCACGGTCGAGAACAGGCAATTACAAAAAAAGCTAGCGAAATAGGGAGGAGAAGTCATTACGTCACGTTGCCATGGTAGCAAAATTTCTGGGTCTCAACAAGGCCACGGCAATCATTGCGCTCGCATCTTTCTTCGCTGTTGAGGCGAAATCGATTAATCGGGGAAAGAACCACCACAATCCTTTCTACACATTTTGAGTTATTTGAATATTCTAATAAGGAGTTTAAGATGTAACTACGGCGACGGCAACGGCGACGAGAACGTCTGAAAAATCTGAATGGGTTAAGACTGACAAAACAACAGTTTTACCACGTGCAGTATTCCTTTTTAGTACATTTCTTTGCCGTCACTGTACGACTACGACGTGAATTGCCTAACTTCATGTTTTATGATAATAATAATAATAATAATAATAATAATAATTATTATTATTTGTATTGCGCCTTTTCTATAAAATATTCCAAAGCGCGACCACGACCACGTGTCGCACTACGACGAATTTCTCTTTCTCTTTTCAAACTTGGATATATTTCTTAAGAATTCAACTCTAGGAGAGTTCCCATACGGCATCAGGCAAAGTGAGCGAGTTTAGTTCATCGACCTAAAGTTTCAATGAACGCGAAGTCGCCTCTAGGTGACGTTTTCGCCGCCTTCGCCGTCGTGGTATCTTTTGTTAAGATCCCAAAATTCTGTTACCATGATAACAAGACGTCACACGTCTCCTCAGTATGATTCAAAATCTGACCCCAGTAGATAAAACGGTGGACAACGCTACGTGCATAATAAATGCAAGTCAAATGGATAACGCAATTGGTGTCTTTACTTACTTACATCGCGATTTCTCCGTTGGAATTCGCTGTCCTTCTTTTGAAGAACTGAGCCCTGAATGAAAACCTCGCTTTAGTGCTTTTAACAATTGCACATGTACAACTGATTGAGTTTGAAATAACCTATATCATTTCTAACCAGTATTACATTAGAACCCGGTACAAATGAAATGCAAAGTTACTTGAAGATACGTTTTTACTAAGTCACTTAAGGATGATCTATCTTTTCACCAAACAGGACAAGCTAACCCGCATGAAATTCAGACAAAATAATATAAAAGATGTTGGTTTACGTTGTGAAGCTGATATGGGGCCAGCTAATCAAATCGGTAGAACTAAAAGGAGACTAGAAGTTTCTTTGGCGAGTAACAACAACATGTTTTCGTAGCGTAGCGAATCAAATGAAAACAGCGTCCGTGAAAAGAGAAGCATTTAATATGCTCTTTTCATATAAACGGCACATCATTAAAAGGTAACCTGGTGGAAAATCCTTGTCAATTTCGAATAATCTAGGGGTTTAGAAATGATTATCGTAGAAAGAATTAATAGGGAGTCATAAAAATATATTCTTTCATTCTTTTGTCTTACAAAATTCAATAACATTAGACACCTCAATATTCAATCCCCAGGCCACTTTCCAGTTATCATTGAACTTCTTAAATCAAACTGACAACAATGTGATAAAGTGGCATCAGAAATATAAATGAAGATTCTTTTAACTTTGATTTAAAATTTTTGGGTTTTTAAAGCACCTATACGGCATAGCATTGTCTAGATATAAAAACATTCCATCGGAAGTATTGCTGCTCAACAATATATCGATATTGAAAACGAAAACAAAGGACCTTCCATGGCTCAAATGAAATTAAGTGCACGGTCAGTTTGGTCTTGAAGTTCTTAAGGTCTAAAATCTCCGCTCTTTTTTCAGTAAGAGGATAATAATTCGTCTTGCTTCGAATTCATCTGTTGATCGGGACGTTAAAAAAAGCAACCCTTGACGCTTTAGAGAGTAACATACGTTAATTGGAGATTGTTTCCAAATTGACGTAAATTTGTGTCTAATGTTGCTAAGTAGAATGCCTGAGACTCGTTAATATTGACTCAAAATATAATTTCGAGTGAACCAAAGATGTAATTGCAACTAGAATTATTCTGAGATGGCCTGCTATTTTCGGCCAGATTTGCTTTAGAAGCTTAATTGTCGGAACAGTCTTATTGGAGTTTAAAATGTACATTTTCTCGCAACAGTTTTTCTTCTCAGTGCCTGCCTCCGTCTCAGTTCTTGTTTTCCATGTTTTCGTCGGTTACGCGTTGGAAGACATTTATGTAATAATCAGAAACTCTGGGCCTAAGGATCAGGTCTGGAATGGCAAGGACTCTTTTAAGATTCCACCTTCAAAATGTGATCCATTAGCAAATACAACAGGAGATGAATGCGAACCATTTCGAGCAGATCCACCGCCGAGTAACACTCCAAATTGTTGTTGCCCGTGTCCTGGCGACGGACCCACGTTCGCTTTTCTTAACAATAGTTGGGCGTGTTTTGACAATGGAAACATACGAGACTTACAAGGTACGGTACGGAGATGAAGTAATCAAAATTGAATTGGGGCATTTCTTTGTAGTTTGATCGTGGGCATAATTATATAGTTACCATTTGATGTCTAATATGATCTTTATTCACTAATTGATCAGATTTTATATCTCGGTCCAGCAATGATAGTGTCGGGGAAATAAACGTAAAATAAAAAGGCTAAGGTCAAAGTTAGAATTGCCATAATATTTTTTCTCTTAGCGTTTGGTAAACGTGCTCTACATGCTTATAAGTACAGACAGATCACATTTGCAGCCTAAGCTATATAGCGCTCATAGTTACGAATGACAATAAACAAATGTTGATGTATTTGTACTATAAATATTGCTTTTCGTTGCTCATTACGAATTAGGCTGCAACCACACAAGCTATTTTTTGAATGAGGCAACGAATCCTCCATGGGAGTTATGGGCGTTACAAACTTCCTTCTCCGTGTTGACCGATATTCCATTTGGTGGGTCGAAGGGCCTGCAAAGCTGTGAGGTTTTGCCAAATTCTTCCTGGCATCTTGGATGTAATGGGACGCGAGTAAGGTCACCTCTCTATCAAAGCAAGATGAAGGACCTGTTTGCATTAGCTAACCAGCAGTTTGGTCGTGCTCGGTTCAACCGATTCTCTCTAGAGGTAAGAAAACGCACACCCTGACGGNTACAGACAGATCACATTTGCAGCCTAAGCTATATAGCGCTCATAGTTACGAATGACAATAAACAAATGTTGATGTGTTTGTACTATAAATATTGCTTTTCGTTGCTCATTACGAATTAGGCTGCAACCACACAAGCTATTTTTTGAATGAGGCAACGAATCCTCCTTGGGAGTTATGGGCGTTACAAACTTCTTTCTCCGTGTTGACCGATATTCCATTTGGTGGATCGAATGGCCTGCAAAGCTGTGAGGTTTTGCCAAATTCTTCCTGGCATCTTGGATGTAATGGGACGCGAGTAAGGTCACCTCTCTATCAAAGCAAGATGAAGGACCTGTTTGCATTAGCTAACCAGCAGTTTGGTCGTGCTCGGTTCAACCGATTCTCTCTAGAGGTAAGAAAACGCACACCCTGACGGCTCAGGCGCTTGAACCATGTCTATTTTGCATGAAGAAATGGTATATAACGGCCGCGGGCACCCAGAACCTTTAAAACATTGCAGCAAAACTTACTGTGAACAATATCAGAGCGATTTTCGTCTGCCTTGAAGTGAGGACGTACAAGAATTAAAAAAAAAAAAGAAAATTAAAAGAAAAGATTGTTCTAACACACTCGGTGACACTGTGAAAGGTTTGAACCCAGGAGTCATTTCGGTGACAATTAAATCAATTTCCTGTAACTAAATTAACGGAATAAAATGGAGAACCTTTGATTGCATACGAAGATGATCTAAGTTCACTGTTTGCAAACATTTTTTTCTTCACAGGTTAAAAGTGGCGTGTTAAACGCACATTTGTTGGAGGGGAAAATTATCAACTTGGCTATACGATGCAACCGTTCGAACAGCAATGTCCAGTTTCACAGCTGCCTGATGTTCAAATTAACAGGGCAACAAATATGTAAGCCAGTAAGAATCAGCCTTCAATTTTTGGCCCTAAAAGTTGATTTTTAGGTAGGCTTTTAAGAAGAAACCCATTATTCACTATAATGGCTATGATGATCTTTAAAGCCTCTCAATGAAAGCAGAGACATTTAATAGCACTTGTTGGAAATGTTAACCGAAGTAGAATTTTGCGTTAGCTGAGTTTTTGCCGGAATGCAAAAGATAATAGGCTCATCGCAATCGCCACATCGGATTTTAAACGGCCTAATGCTCTGCCAAGTGCTTTCCTATAGAGAACCAGATGGAAATTCAAACTTGATCCTCAGCGACAACTATTTCCATTGGTCACATAGAGAAATAATTGGGATGTTAATATCTATACCATGAATTCAGAATAGGAGTAGGAGTCTTTGCACGGTACTTAAATGTCATGAATTACTCAGCCAGAATTTTGGACTACGACCACCAGACGAACTGAGGTTTTGGCCACAATGTGGCTTTCAGTAATTTGTCCTCAGTATGAAACAATATTAACAAACTTTTAAACATAACTGTTTCTTTTTAGGCCCTGAACCTCATTTTAAGTTACGAACTTTCTCTACGACGAGTGCCGGAACACAAACACTAACAACAAATATTTCGCCTTCTTCCATGACCACGTCGTCGAAAGTCGTTACGCTGAGCAACGTAAGTTTAAAATAAATACTTAAAAGAACCTAATAGGGTATTTTTACACGAGGTCCTTTCCAACAAACCGCCCATGAAATAGCTACGCAGGAGTGGTATCGTTATTTGATAAGAGTAAAAAAATAAAAAAATAAATAGAAAAGGAAAAAATAATAATAAAACAAGTTACACTGTATTTTGTACCATATGACGGCTTGTTGAAAGACTCACTCATTTTTGAAACTGAAAACTGAGTGAAACTGGAAATTGTGCTAAATATAAGGTGGCTCGATCCTATTCGCTGGCGTGCTGGATATATTTTTTGAACGGTGTTTTCAGCAGGAAACATATTAAACGATTTCTATGATATTTTGTATCCCAAATGAAAAATAATGGAACTTTAAGAGCTTTACAACTTTTATCATCATCACTATTATTAAAAAGAAGAACTTCGACCCTGACCACCTGCATGTCACTTGGATGTAGTGATTGATGTAAGAATTATTTTCTGATTAGATTAATCTAGGATATGACATATTAGCAATTATAGTTTTTACACTTAAGATTTAATTTTAATTTTTTTTTCTTTTTTCTTATTTAAGTGTCTGTTGTAGTTTTTGGGTGGACTAGCTCGAATGGTTCGTATGTTCCCTTCTAGTCCTTCACCACTGCAATAATTTTTTTTTCTAGTATGTAGTTAATTGTTCTCTTATGTAATTTAGCTAAGTTTTCTTTAAATATATATATGTATATGTTTTATGTGTGATACCTTTGTTTCAACTAATGCAGTGAAAATGGAATAAATTAAAAAATCAATTAAATTAAAATTATTGTTATTATTATTATTATTATTATTATTATTATTTCACCCTTAGATTCGCCCTACACCAAGCCGAGACCATGAAAGCAGTAATCTACTGACCAAAGTTGTCATTATATTTGCAAAATTGGCGATCACTGCCCCCATTGCAGTCTTCCTTGTAATTATGGGCACTTTATTGGTACATCGCTATCGCCATCGGTAAGCCGGTAAACCTTCACTGTATTAAATAATGAGGATACGATTGATGTG